CAAAAATAAATAATAATTATTCGTAGTATTTGTAGAAAATTTCGGGATGTTACAGTGGCCCCCTTAGATACCCGAAGAAAAAGAAAGAGGGGAGAGAAAGAGGTCGGGGGGACCTCTGCCCCTCGAGTTGCTGAGGAGGTGACCTCCAAGGCTGTTGGTGCTGATGCGGTCGACCTTACTGGGAGTTCTCCGCCTGAGGGAGCTCCCCAAGCGGCCGCCGAGGAGGTAGCTCAGGCCACCGAGGTGGGTGCCTTGCATTTTGGTTTTTCTTCTATGCTCTCTTTTTCTTGACTTTTGACTTAGGGGGAAATTTGTATTTTTTGTAGGTGAGGCATGCTGCCGAGGTCCCGGTGGTTCCGAGTTCGAAGGCCCCCGTGGTTGAGCAGGGGGCGCCTGCCTCTACCTCTGCTGAGGTTCACAAAAAGGGGCCGAGCTCCGAGGTTCCGACACCTACTCCCACGACCTCGGCGCCGCCGTCTGGTTCATCGAAGGGGCCCCCCAGAAACCAGTACCTCGCCCATCGCTTCAGGAAGGATCATTCTTTGGTGCGGCTGGATCATGTGAGCGCTTCGGAGGACATAGATTCTCTATGGAGCGCGGGGTGACCTCGGAGAAGTTCTTCTCCAAGGAGTCGTTGAGTACGGCTGATCAAACCATGATCGAGACGGCCGAGCTAGTGGAAGGCCTTAATTCTGTTGAGGTCTTCCTGCAGAGGACGATGGCAATCGTGGACCATTGGAAGCATAAGTGGTCCAAGCAGCAGGAGGACCTGGCGAAGCTGAAGGGACGAGTCCAGCCTTTGAGGGAAGAGAACAAGGCTTTGAAGGAGGAGAACCGGGCCCTAGCGGGCGCTCTCGGTGATGCTAAGCTGCAGAGTGAGGTCGAGCTTCAAGCCACCAGGAGGGAGCTAGAGAGAGTTCATAAGTCCTTAGAGATTGCTCTAAGGTCCAATGAGACTCACGCTGCCCAAGTGAGTGAGCTGCAAGAGCTCGCCAATTCTTCCCGAGGCCGGGTGCGTGCCCTAGAAGACGAGGTAACTTCCCTGAAGGTTGATCTCGTGGTGGCGGCTGAGAAGCATCTTTGTGACGAGGTGCTTCTCGGTGGGAAAGAAGAGGAGGTCGTCGCACTTAGGGTGGACCTCTCGAAGATGGCTACGGAGAAGGCGGAGCTGGAGAAGAAGCTCGAGGGAACTAAGCGAGTTGTCCTGTTCGAGCACAAGAGGGGATTCCTCAAGGCAGCTCAATAATAATTATTCGTAGTATTTGTAGAAAATTTCGGGATGTTACAGTGGCCCCCTTAGATACCCGAAGAAAAAGAAAGAGGGGAGAGAAAGAGGTCGGGGGGACCTCTGCCCCTCGAGTTGCTGAGGAGGTGACCTCCAAGGCTGTTGGTGCTGATGCGGTCGACCTTACTGGGAGTTCTCCGCCTGAGGGAGCTCCCCAAGCGGCCGCCGAGGAGGTAGCTCAGGCCACCGAGGTGGGTGCCTTGCATTTTGGTTTTTCTTCTATGCTCTCTTTTTCTTGACTTTTGACTTAGGGGGAAATTTGTATTTTTTGTAGGTGAGGCATGCTGCCGAGGTCCCGGTGGTTCCGAGTTCGAAGGCCCCCGTGGTTGAGCAGGGGGCGCCTGCCTCTACCTCTGCTGAGGTTCACAAAAAGGGGCCGAGCTCCGAGGTTCCGACACCTACTCCCACGACCTCGGCGCCGCCGTCTGGTTCATCGAAGGGGCCCCCCAGAAACCAGTACCTCGCCCATCGCTTCAGGAAGGATCATTCTTTGGTGCGGCTGGATCATGTGAGCGCTTCGGAGGACATAGATTCTCTATGGAGCGCGGGGTGACCTCGGAGAAGTTCTTCTCCAAGGAGTCGTTGAGTACGGCTGATCAAACCATGATCGAGACGGCCGAGCTAGTGGAAGGCCTTAATTCTGTTGAGGTCTTCCTGCAGAGGACGATGGCAATCGTGGACCATTGGAAGCATAAGTGGTCCAAGCAGCAGGAGGACCTGGCGAAGCTGAAGGGACGAGTCCAGCCTTTGAGGGAAGAGAACAAGGCTTTGAAGGAGGAGAACCGGGCCCTAGCGGGCGCTCTCGGTGATGCTAAGCTGCAGAGTGAGGTCGAGCTTCAAGCCACCAGGAGGGAGCTAGAGAGAGTTCATAAGTCCTTAGAGATTGCTCTAAGGTCCAATGAGACTCACGCTGCCCAAGTGAGTGAGCTGCAAGAGCTCGCCAATTCTTCCCGAGGCCGGGTGCGTGCCCTAGAAGACGAGGTAACTTCCCTGAAGGTTGATCTCGTGGTGGCGGCTGAGAAGCATCTTTGTGACGAGGTGCTTCTCGGTGGGAAAGAAGAGGAGGTCGTCGCACTTAGGGTGGACCTCTCGAAGATGGCTACGGAGAAGGCGGAGCTGGAGAAGAAGCTCGAGGGAACTAAGCGAGTTGTCCTGTTCGAGCACAAGAGGGGATTCCTCAAGGCAGCTCGCTAGGCGAGGCTACTTGCGCCGGGGGTCGACCTCTCTGCCATGCATGTGGAGAAAGAGGTGCGCTTCGGGAAGCTGGTGAAAGAAGACGACCTTCAGGACAGCTCGAGCGAAAACGCCTCTGCCTAGGCCAGTTTTGTAATAGCTTAGTTTATTCTGTTCTGCTTGATTTTTTCTTTGGATTTTACAGTGGCCCCCTTAGATACCCGAAGAAAAAGAAAGAGGGGAGAGAAAGAGGTCGGGGGGACCTCTGCCCCTCGAGTTGCTGAGGAGGTGACCTCCAAGGCTGTTGGTGCTGATGCGGTCGACCTTACTGGGAGTTCTCCGATTGTGTATATAATATTTTTTCTTTCAAGATTTTATCCTCGCGTTTTTGGTGGTTCTTTTTGACCTTCTACTTATGCACTTGTGTTTTTTGTGCTTTTCCAGGGCTCAAACTTGGCCTGATGTAAATAATTCGTATTGAGGTTCAAACTCGAACCTTGGCGAGATAGAGCGGTTGAACTCGACCCCTGTGTGAGATAAAAATAATGTGTGCCGAGATTCGTACTCAACCTCGGGTTGGGTTTCCTTTTTAAGGTTCGGACTCGACCTCAGCGGAAGGTAAGATAATTTGTAATAAGGTTCGAACTCGACCTCTGGTGCTTCCTTTTAAGGTTCGAATTCGACCTCGGCGGAAGGTAAAATAATTCGTAATAAGGTTCGAACTCGACCTCTGGTGCTTCCTTTTTAAGGTTCAAACTCGACCTCGGCGGAAGGTAAGATAATTCGTAATAAGGTTCGAACTCGACCTCGACCTCGGCGGCAGGTAAGATAATTCGTAATATGGTTCGAACTTGACCTCGG